TAGAAAAGGCCGATAGATTTAGTGAGATCCTCAAGAATATGGAAAAGGACCAACTAGAAATTATACACTGACTGAAATAAAAAATATTATACAGAGACCTAACAGCAGACTAGAGGAACGCAAGAACCAAGTCAAAGGTTTGAAATACAAAGAAGCAAGAAACACTTAACCGGAAAAGCAAAAAGAAAAAAGGATAAAAAAATATGAAGATAGTGTAAGAAGCCTCTGGGACAACTTCAAGCAAACCAACATCAGAATAATGGGAGTGCCAAAAGAGAGCAAGATACTGAAAACCTATTTGAAGAAATAATGTCTGAAAAACTCCCCCACCTGGTGAAAGAAATAGCCTTAGAAGTCCAGGAAGCACATAGAATCCCATACAAAAGGAATCCAAAGAGGACCATACCAAGACACATCATAATTAAAATGGCAAGACCAAAAGACGAATATTAAAAGCAAGAGAAAAAGTTAATTACCTACAAGGGAGCACCCATACGATTGTCAGCTGATTTCCCAACAGAAACTATGCAGGCTAGACAGGAATGGCAAGAAATATTCAAAGTAATGAATAGCAAGAACCTACAACCAAGATTACTTTACCCAGCAAAGCTATCATTCAGAAATGAAGGGCAGATAAAGAGCTTCACAGATATGAAAAAGCTAAAGGCTGAAAGTGGTTTGGCTCAGTGGATAGAGCGTCAGTCTGCGGACTGAAAGGTCACAGGTTCTGGTCAAGGGCATGTACATTGGCTGCAGGCACGTCCCAGTAGGGGGTGTGCAGGAGGCAGCCAGTCGATGTTTCTAGCTCTCTATCCCTTTCCCTTTCTCTCTGTAAAAAATCAATAAAAAATCAATAAGAACCTTTAAAAAAAAAAAAAAAAAAAAAAAAAAAAGAACACAAACACCAAACAAAAAAAAAAAAAAAAAAAAAAAAAAAAAAAAAAAAAAAAAAAAAAAAAAAAAAAAAAAAAAAAAAAAAAAGCTAAAGGAGTACACCAACACCAAACCAGTATTATATGAAATGCTGAAAGGTATTCTTATACAAGAGGAAAAAGAAAAAGGTAAAAAATTATGATCAACAAATACAAATAAACAAGTGAATCTAAAAAGCAAGTGAATTAAAAATCTGATGAACAGAATAAACTGGCAAATCTAATAGAATCAGGGGCATAGAAAGGTAGTGGACTGACAGTTCTCAGGCAGAAAGGAGTATGCAGGAAGAGACTGGACAGAAATCGTATACCTATGGGTGAGGACAGAGGGGGTGAGGTAAGGGCAGAGGGTGGGGTGGGAACCGGGTGGAGGGGAGCTATGTGGGGGTGGGGGAGAGGAACAATTATAATAATTTGAACAATAAAGATTAAATTAAAAAAATATACCACGTACATGAAATATATAGAATAGGCGAAGCTGTGGAGATAAAAGTAGTGTTTACCTAGTAGTGGTTGGGAAGATAAAGGAGTGACCCTTAGAGATTTTTGGTGGTGAACAAAAATGTTTTAAAAGTTTATTGTGATGGCTGCTCAACTCCAAGAAAATATTCAAAACCAGTTTTGTAGTTTAAATGGGTGAATTGAATGGTTTGGGAATTATTTTAGTGTCTCAGTAAAAGTGTTATTTTAAAAATGGAATTAAAAAAGCCGTTTTTATTACATTTGGGTTAGGCTCTAAAATCACAACAGCATGAAAATAAGTCCTTTTTAAAACCGTTTCCTATTCCAAGGAAACATTTAGCAGGTATCGGGTCTAGTAATAATTAATGTCGTTTTTTAACATTCGTTTAAAATCTTGCTCGGCGTTGACTTGTATTGACATAACCTTCAAACACGTGGTATCTACAGAACGTGTGAAGTGCAATTAACAAGTTTTGCTTGAAAAAGTTTGTGTTTGGTTTGGTTTTTGTTGCAAAACTAGGGCTAAGAAGATGGCGGATGAAGAGCATGTTCGGCACTGCATGCTTTACGAGTTCCAATTAGGAAGAAAAGCAAGTGAGGCTGCAAAAAACATCTGTAGTGCTCTTGGTCAAGATGCAGTTAGCACCAGAAAATGCCAGCGTTGGTTTGAGAAATTTCGCGAGGGAAATTTTTCGTTAGATGACAAGAGTGGTCGAGGCCTTGTGTCCAATTTTGATCAAGAAGCTCTTCAAGCTCTTTTGGTGCAAAATCCTCAAATTACCCAACAAGAGCTTGCGACAACTTTAAATTGTTCACAAAAAACAATTTCCAATCAATTGTGTGCACTTGGCAAAGTCCAAAAGTTTGGAAAATGGGTTCCTCATGAGTTGACCGACAACAACCGTAATCAGAGAGTCACAATTTGCAGTTCGCTCCTCTCTCGTCAAAACCGTTTGCCGTTTTTAGAGCTAATTGTTACCGGAGAAGAAGAATGAGTGCTGTATGTTAATTTGAAAAGGCGGCCTCAGTGGTTGGACAAAAATGAGGCTCCGCAGCCCACGCCAAAACCTGACTTGCATGCGAAAAAAGTGATGTTGTGTGTTTGGTGGAATTTTAAAGGAATTCTTCATTATGAACTTTTACCATCTAACCAAACCATTACAAGTGCAGTGTTTAGTGCCCAATTGGAAAGGTTAGCCCAAGCTTTAAGAGAAAAAGAACCCGCGCTGATTAATCGGAAGGGCGTAATTCTTCACCACGATAATGCACGACCGCATACTGCAAGAATCACTGCTGAAAAACTGCGCCAGTTGGAATGGGAAGTTCTCCCTCAACCTGCATATTCTCCTGATATTGCCCCTTCCGATTACCATTTGTTTCGTTCTTTGCAAAACTTTCTTCTTGGAAAATTTTAATAATGAAGAATGCCTCAAAAATGCATTGACCGAATTTTTTGCATCAAAATCACAAGAATTTTACAACAGAGGGATTAAAATGCTTCCTGAGCATTGGGCACAAGTAGTAGAAAACAACGGCAACTATATTGTTGATTAAATTTTGTTGTATTGTTTAAATAAATTCGGTTTAAAAAAAAGTATTAGAAAACGACATTATTACTAGACCTAATAGAAGAGCTAGGATCGAAACCTATAGCAGCCAGTATTTCCTGTTGTCTTATAACAGAATTTTGCTATTTGGTTTTACACAAATGAAGTATTGCTAGTTACCTTAAGGAGCTATGTTGTATGAAAAATACAACAGCTTACTTTATGACAGGCACTTAGAATGAGGCTAGACTGGGGAATTATTGGATACATATTCCCATCTCAACTAACTTTAATACTGTAATCCCAGCTGCTAGGATTACAGTATAAAAGTTTTCCCTTTTTCTGGGCCAACCACATGGTGATTTTATTTTTCATGTTAATATGATTCAATTCCGGTATATCACTGAAGCACTTTTGTATCTATGAAATCTATATAAATGTTTGTTCTTAATAATTCTAGAATTAGCCTTTATCAATTAAGATTATATTCTATGTTTAATAGAAAATAACAGAAACTTAAACACTAAAGATTGTTCTCACATAAACTATGAAGTAGATTTTCTAGGACTGATCCACAACTGCTCTGTCGTGAGGGACACAGGCTCTTTCTATTGTGCCTACTTTTTCATCAGTAAAGGTGGCTTTATAGTCACAGGATGGCTCCTGGAATACAAGTTGTCACCCCTCCTCCCTCAAACAGGAAGTCTTAAGTTCAGGGAAAGGGCAATGGGAGTGGTCTCTCCTATCAGAAACAGGAAAAATATTTCTTAGCAGTCACATTGCCACATAATTTTACTAGTAAAGAGGTGATGTTGAATAAAAAGCGAGAAAATGCTACAACTCTGGAAAAAACTCTAATAGAGTGGTTGAAATATTCTTAATTACTGTTTTTATTATTAGATTCTGAAAAGAAGTCGTCTGTCCTGTCAGAAGAACAACAAGCAACAAGCACTTTAGTGGAAACCATCAGGCAGAGTATTCAACGTAATGATGTTCTTCAACCCATCAACCTGCTTTCACAGCAAATAAAGCCAGACAAGAAAAGACAAAGGTAATAATTCAATGTTTACCACTCAAAATAATGTCATGTTAAAAACTATTTAAAATAGCTCTAGTTGTAAAAGAAACATATACTCAGTGTGGAACATGTTTTAAAAAGTACTTATTTGAGCACAAATAAGTATCTGTTTCAGGGGATAAATTTTAAGAGGTAATTCATGTCAAAAGTGTATGAATCTTTGGGAAACATTAATACTATTCATGGAAACCCTGTGTGAATTTGTTAACATCTATATTATACATATGTTCTACTTGGTTCAGGCTCTGTCATGTCCATACATCTTTTCCATTCTTGAGGGACACTAAAAAAAAAAATAGTTTGGGAGTTAGAAACTATTTAGAAAAGTGATGGAAGTAGTGAATTACAAAGGATGTGGAGCTCTCGTGATCCTCTTACTATTGTCTGCAAACATGCTTGGATCAGTACTCATCCCAATGTCAATATGAGCTTGCAGAGGAATCTTCAGAAAACAGTAGTACAAAGATAATGAAATGGATGGATCCTCTAACTGAGGTACAGATGGCTTCTTTTAGTCTAAAAAGCACCTCGTTTCAAGCACCTGTAGTATAAGGCAGGAAAGGAATATTAGAAATGACCTGCTATGGCCTCTAAAGCTTCTAGAGCTACATGGAGCATCCTCAATCAGCATTATTAATTTTTTGTTCTGTGTAAACACTCAAACCAGTTTACTTAAATTGTTTATTTTTAACAACTGAGTTATACAGCTTATTTTTAAGATTTAATTTGTGATATTTTTATGTCCACCAATCAAATAACGGTGATCTTTTATTGTTGGATTAGATAGATCATTCCCCCTTTCACTCTGTGTCCAAGGGTTTTAGACTCCTTAGAAATTGCTACTTTGTCACGTAAAAGATGACAAAAGACCCTGCCTTTCCAAGTTTTAATTAGGAATTAGAAGTTATAGTTAAAAAAAATTTTAAGTTAAACCATTTTTTGTTTTTAGTGTGAAACTTTATGCCATCAACTTAATTTTTAAACTTAAATAGATATACGAAGGAAGTAGTTGTAAAAATAGTTAAGAACCCTTCTCCCAAAGGTGCCATCTCATAACTGTGCCACATATCAAAACTAGGACATTGTTAGACCAGAGAACTTAATTTTTTTTTAAACAGTTAAAAATGCCTTCACATATTTATTTCTATACTTTTAGCCTATTGACTCTAAAAATATTTGTTTTATAGGAGTTTATACAGAGAAATCCTCTTCTTATCATTAGTATCTCTTGGAAGAGAGAATATTGATATTGGTAAGTTGATTAGAGCACTATTTTCTGTTTCCTTACATTTTACTATTTCCAAATGTAATTTTACGCTTTATTTTCAAGTAATTTTATTTCCTAAAGTAATTTTAAAATTCTACTTGCCTTTAGAAAGACTTCTACTTTTGATTATGTGGTGTGTGTGTATATATGATTGGACTACCATATATAAATGCATAAATTCTTTAACACATTATAACTGCATTTTTTGAAATTGTCTTTTTCAGAGGCTTTTGATAATGAATATGGACTTGCGTACAATAGTCTATCTTCAGAAGTCCTTGAAAAGTTGCAGAAAATTGATATTCCACCAAGTGTCAGTGTGGAATGGTGCAGGAAGTGTTTTGGAGCCCCTCTCATTTAAACTACATTTCAGATACACAATGCTGGGGGGAATAGACTCAGTCTGAAAACTTTAAAGGTTTGTTCCAAATGCTAAGAATTGGTGAAAACCAAAATTGTCTAACTATTTATGGGACAACATATGAAACCTAACATACCAAATCACCTAGAAATAAGAAAATACAATTAAAATGCCCCAGGGTTTATTCTTAACGGTGTATCTGCCTCTTCTGAAAACCGTCTGGATTTCTCAATATTTGCAGTTTGATGAGAAATTGCATTCGTCATTGGCATTGTTTATATTTGAAGCTAACTGGGTTTGGGGAATGACAAATTAAACTTGGCTAACCCTAATACAAATGAAATGTTTTAAGAGCAAACTCTGTGTGAATGTGGCTGTGTATGTATGCGTATATACAGCCATATTATATTTATTAAAATTTATAGATTATGTATTGCAGTTTTCCAAAAGGGGTCTAAGTGACTACTAGTAAACTCACCTGTAGTCATTAATTTCAAAATTACCTGAAGTCTGCTGACAGCCACCTTGCCTGACTTTTAAATTTAATACATTTATCTTCACCCTTCATATTTTGTAATATTTTCCTTAATGGATTTTATCTTGAATATCCAGTTACTTCCATCCACTTCCCAATAGCATGTTGATATACAATAGCTTTATAATTTAATATTATACATCAGTCAGTTTAAATGAAATTGGCTTTAATTTCACAAAATTTGAACATCCTTAAAAGTGCCGTATGTATAGCCTGGACCAGAAATTGTTTCAGGCCCAGTAAATGGTTATTGGTCACTTTTTAAAACCTGTGGGATAAACTTGCACTGCAGTTTTATTCTTGTAAAATATATAGATTTGTATGTTTATTTGTGCATTTGTAAATAGTTTTTTTTAGGATAAATCAATTAAGTCAATACAAAACTATTGTGCTTGTTTGCCAGATTTAAGAAAATCATGACCTCACATGCCTGACAATTATGCCTTTTGTTAAAAGCCCTTAGGAGCAGCAAGATTGCCTTAACTCTGCGTGGTGTAAAATGCCAGTGGTTGTGTGTTTTACAGTAATTATACATACGACTAAATCACTGGGTACAAATTATTTACTGGTAGGTGACAGCACAAATCTATCTGGTATAATCTTTTACATCTTGTTGCTGTGCCAGTCTTTCATCATTTAGGGTTAATCTGACCTTTATAGAATTCTAGTTTCAATTTATTGTGAAAGAAAATTATGTACAGTTCTCATTACCTTAAAAATGGATCTTTTGCACTAACTTTAGAGTATATATTTTTGCAGTTAAGACTTGGTACTAGTTTTAATACTTAACAATTATAAAGTTTGTAATTATTCTTGTATATAAAAAGATGGAGGTTGAATGAAAAGGAAAAATTCTTGTTACCTTTTTAAGCCTCCGGAAATGTTACACAATTGGAACCTTTGTGATCTTTAGAATTCCAAAATTATCTTTCTCTCCGTTTCTTCTCTGTAGCCTGAAACTAAATTACTTCCCACTAAACAAAGAAAGAAGTCTGTAATGAAGATTTCCTTAACCAGTTAAAAATATTTGTATTCAAGTTTTCTAGTAACTTTTTGTTAATTCTAAGTAACAGCCGTTATATATTGGAAACTTGAGTCTACTGCAGTCATTTAGAAATATAAATTTTAAAGGCCTTTTCTTTCTAACACCTACCAGAAAGGGTACCACCAAAAGCTTAGAATCCCCCCAAAAAAATCTCATTTGAATTTCTAGTTTTAATACTGTATGAAACAACATAATCTGTTAACTTCTGAAAGTCTGGTAGTCTAAAATTAATCCAGATTATCCTAAAATGTGAACACTAAGTGGAAGCCCCTTTTGTCGTCCTGTTTATGCCACGCTATCTGATTTCAGTATGCTGGCAGCACCAGTGATTGACCAGTCCAAAAGGTAAATGTAGTGTCAGTCACTGAACATGGCGCTTAACGTATTAAACTAACCTGCCAGAACTCATGAGCTAAAATAGTGTAGACAAGCCATGTGTCCACTTTTAGAAAATGCACTCAAAATCAGAAAGCAGTGGGATTCATGGTTTGTATATTAGGGCCAACCATATATGTACAGACCTATACACCAGACTTGCCCTTTTGGCCTTGTTATCCTGACTGTAGTATGTCCTTTTTATTATCTTTAAAAATGCTCCATTTTCCCTTTGTAATTTCTATAGTCAATTGCAAATTAAGACTTTTCATATTCTATTACTAATACCATGTATTAAGAGTAATGGGGATCTCTTACTGTTATCTAAGAATCTTGCATCTTACGGTCCAGAAACTGGCATTGGTCGCACACGGGAACTTAATCTGTGTAAAAACTACTTTAAAATTTTACTCACCTGTGGTTAAACTACACTTCAGCAAACGAGCCTCTTCATCCTTAAAGCCTAATGTGCCTTTTTAAGATCCTTCTACCCTGTAAAGGATAGTTTTGACTGTAATTATCAGAAACTAGATATGGCACATTAGAAAAAGTATACTTTCTCTTTATGCATTCTTTATTGATGCAAGTTTTTAAAAAGGCATAGTCAACTCCTTTTCAGAGTGAAATAGAAAAACAGGAATAATTCACTGGAGTTGAAAGCTTTGTTAATGTAGTAAATTTGCACTGGTTTTAAAAGCTTTGTGAACTTTTGCAAAACTGCATCATTAACTATGCTTTTAACAAGTAATCTTTTTTTATCACATGTGACAAATGTCCATCTTCCCAAGGGCACTTTTCATGTATTGTGCATAGATGTTTTAAGAAACTGTATTCCTCAAAATAAAATGTATAAAAGATTAACAATTCTATCATTTATTTCTCTGTTCTATGATTCACTGCTGAAAATCCCTTATGCTAAGAATCTTTTCCTGAGCCACCCAGATTCCGAAACAGTATCCTGCACCTCTGAATTTGAAGGACACATCACTTTTTAAGTTTTAGTCTTTAGATTGCTGTACACAGTATTCCTTTTTCTATGACCCGAGTTTCTCTCCATTTATCTAAATTTTATCATCAATGAACAGTCTGGTAAAGGGGGTTTCACATTTGCTCTCCTTTATTTGTTAGTTACAAAATCTCATTTTTGACTGGATTCAGACTTAGAGGTAGAAGCTCTCAGAGAGGACAGTCTACGTCTCTTCGCAATTTGCTCCTGGCGTTTTTCTTTGGCCTCCTAAACAAGACAAAAAGAGTAGTCAAAGCCTGTCTGTGTTAAAAATCTAAACCCAAAGTGAGGCGTGACTCCTCCCCTGCCACCCCAATCATCTTAAACTGACCTTTGTTCTCTTAGCCAAAAGTTTAGCATATTCTGCAGCCTCTTCCTTGTTCTTCTTAGTGCGTTGTTTTTTCAGAGCAATGCGCCTGCGTTTGTGTTGCAGGACACGTGGAGTAACAAGACGCTGAATCTTGGGTGCTTTAGTCCTAGGTTTCTTACCTAAAAATTTAGATGGCTTAATCACTTAATACAAGCCTTGTTCATTAGGACACACACCTCACCTACATTTTAAAAACTTGAGCAACAGACGCAAACTTGAGTTAGTATCTACAAAAACTTATTTGTATAAGGCCTTTTAAGTCAAATTTGAAATATTTTACAACTTAAGGATACCACCACTTTGCCAACAAAAATACAAGTCAAGCTAAGTATTATACAAATATAAAACTGAAGTCCTAAACTGAAGTCCTTCTAAAAGAGACCAGGCTAATACTACCGTTTCCCTGAAAATAAGACAGCGTCTTATATTAATTTTTTCTCCCAAAACTGCGCTATGTCTTATTTTCGGGGAAACATGATAGTTGCCAGTGTTTTCCTAATTAGCACCTTTAACCCTCAGTAAAGACAGTTTATTAAGTCAAGCCTATTTGGATGTCAAGATCATAGGTTAATTTTTTGAACAATGAAGTCACACTCAGCTTTCTTCGATCACTTTGATTTCCTGCCAGCTACTAAGGTAAATAATCCCCTAATATCAAGACACAAGAATCATCTTAAAATCACCTGCCAGCTAGCACCTTTACTACACCGATGGTTATTTCCAAAGTTCATGGGGAACTCCTGGGAATTTGCCAATTATTTTTTAAAGCACAAGTTACAGGAGGCCAATACTATATCCTCAACCTTTAAAATAGTATCCGGCACATAGGTTGTGTTGGATATTTGGCATGAGACCAATGAACTCACAATAAGCCAGGTACAGGTTTACCTGAAAAAATAAAACCCAACCAACACCCTCCCCCGAGATTTGCCAGGAGAACCCAACCTGAATATGCCATTTACTCCATTTAATCTACGTGTTCATACAGCAATATTAATGTTACAAAACATTGCAGCCACAGACTACAGGATAGTCATGATGGGTTATGTTGCTTAACAATGTACCTTCTAAAAATAAAACTCCCAAATACCCATTACCTATATTCTGAATACAGTATAAATCTAATTCTCATAACTCTTACTATTGCTACTCATATCCCATAGATGAAAATGAGGGTCAGAAGTTAAAGCTAGGTCAGTTGATGAAAGCATGTTATTAGAGTGAGAGCACATTCGATCACAGCCCTAGAATTTATCATTTTTCCAACTTTTAACCTAAAAGCAATGAACACAGCTAGAAGGCATTGGATGTAACAAGGATTAATACCAACAAATGTCATGTCCCTCCAATATTTTCCTAAAATCTCCAGGTGAGTTGTAGGCAGATTTTGTTCTAACGAGAACTCAAAACACTAGAGACAGATTAATAACCAAATTAAGCAAGCCCTAAATGTCATAATATCCCCTACCTTCTTTGGTTAGAGGCTTTCTCACAACATATTTTCGGACATCATCTTCTTTAGAGAGATTGAAAAGTTTGCGGATTCTGCTGGCTCTTTTGGGCCCCAGGCGACGAGGCACAGTGGTGTCAGTGAGGCCAGGAATATCTTTCTCCCCTGAGACATGTGAACAAAGACATTTTAATTCAACTTCCTTTCAAAGAACCCTAAATTACTGCTTTCATTGGTAAAAACAAAACATGTCATGGATATGACAAATGAAAAAGCCATTTGGATAATCAGCTTTAAATCAGTCAGCAATAACTGAACCCAAGAACACAAACCTCACCTTTTTTCACAATGACCAAGTTGAGAACACTGAGGTTGGCATCCACAATGCAACCCCGAACAGATTTGCGTTTTCTCTCTCCAGTCCTCCTGGGTCGGTAACAGGAGTGCCCCTTACTCAGCAGCAGGCGGACTCGGCCATGGGTCAAGACACCCTGCTTCATGGGGAAACCTTGTTTGTCGTTCCCACCACTGATTCGAACCACATATCCCTGCAGAATGCAATGACATTAAAAGTAAAGGGCTGTGGCCTCTATGACGTCCACTCAGTTCTAGTAGGTACAGTTCATTAAATACAATTTGAAACAAAATTCCTCTGCTCACTCATGTTTGTCTACATTTGCCAATCTTCCAAGTTCAGTTAGCAAATCCCTTGCAAGCAAGCTCTATTTCTAACCTCTGCGTTACTAGAGGGAACAGTTCTAGGGTAAGAAAGATTACATGGTAAGAGACCAAAGTATCCGCAAACAAACAAACCAGACATCCTTTCTTGGCACTTTTAAAAATACCCTTTGGAGACCATTAGCTTGCAGCGCAACTAGGTATGTATGTTTCCTCATTTGAGCTATGAAACCCCGCCAGGTGATAGCTCTACCTCGTAGGATGAGGTCTGGGAGTCACTATCCCAAGGTGAGCAGACAGAACGAACCGGAGTTTGAAACCAATTACACAGCCAATTACCACCCGCGTGTACCACCATCCCAAGAGCCGCAGCAAGTGAGATCAATCTCACCTTCCATTCTTCACCCAGAGCGTCGGCGGCAACTTCTGTGGCCATTCGCTTCTCATAGAAAGTACGAAGTTTGCGCTCATCGTCCACTTCGATGAGTTTCTGGCAGCCAGTGGCTGGGAAAGAGATGTTGAGCTAAGGATTAAACGGAGGGGGAAAGAGCTTTATGAAAACTACACAACCATCGGCAAAGGTATTCCACTGCAAAAAGCCTTCCAAGTCCAACCCCCAACCATAGTCAGCAGCAAAACGGATAGTCGGCTTTATTCAATATAAAGCACGTGTGTGCAATAACGCGCGACGAGCCCCGCGCTAGAAATAGGACGTCGTCTGTTAAGCCCCCCCCCCCCCCCCCGCAATGACTCCGGGGACGAGGGAGCTCCGCAGCCGGGCCCCTTGGAGTAAGGGGCCCAACCGACAGCAGAGCCTTATCCGCCCGGCTAGGCCTGAGGGCGCCGCCACCATTACGCTCCCGGCCCCACACAACTCCAGCGGCAATCACACGCCATCCCCTCTCCCAAGGAGCTCCAGGCCCACAAAATAAAAACTTCCTCCTACCTCAGACCCTCCTCTACCTAGAACCTGGACTTTGGAGAGTTACAAAGGCAGCGACGCCGTGTCCTGGGGCTCGATTCACGTCCCCCGAGCCTAAGCCAACGCCCGCCATTTCCTCCTACCTTCATCCTGAAGCAGCCGACAGCCTCCGCGGCGCCACGAAAAGAGGCCTAACTTCCGCTTAACCCAGATCACATAGGCACTTCCAGTTCTCGCGAGATGGGCAAAGCCTGGGAGAGCGGAAGTGGTCATGGGTAGTCGGCGCTTCCGGAGGAGGGGCTAATCTACAGTCCGGAAGTGGATTTAGCAGCCTAAACGCACCGGAGGCGTAGTTTCAGCGTGGCGGCGGGTTTTGACGGAAGGCTGGATTCCCCAGCCTGGTCTTTCTCGCGTTACCCTTGACCAGGAAGGAGCCCAGCTCAGTCTCGGACTCTGCATCGGATGTTGCCGAGGAAGGGCGGCCCGGAGTTCAGCTCTCTTGGACTCTCCTGCACCTCGGACTCGGAGGGGCGCATCTTGCCCTGGTTCCGCGGTTCGCAGCAAGACGCCATTTTTCTCTTAAAATACTCCCATCATCTGCGTAATCCTTGTTCTGTCACAGAACAACACTCTTAGCCACCCTGTCGCAAGAGCCAAAAATCACAATTACCCCCAGGCCTGGCCACCATCGGTATCTACTAAATAGTCTTGCTTTGTTTTGCCTTTGCGATCTTTTTTAAAAAAATATATATTTTATTAATTTCTTACAGAGAGGAAGGGAGAGGGATAGAGAGTTAGAAACATCGATCAGAGAGAAGCATCGATCAGCTGCTTCCTGACACCCTCCCATGGGGATGTGCCCGCAACCAACGTACGTGTCCTTGACTGGAATCGAACCTGGGACCCTGGAGTCCGAAGGCCGACATTCTATCCACCGAGCCAAAACAGGGCGCCTTTGCGATCTTTTTAAAGCGAGAAATATTACTATGTCAAACTCCTCATCCTGGCATGACAAGCTTTCCTCAGTCCCAAACTCACCAATTGCTGTTGGTTACTACCATCGAAGGTTTTTCAGGTTAGATGTCCCTCCTAAGAGAAGCCTTTCCTGACCACATCGTCTCACATAGTATCCTCATTCCTAGTACAGCACAGTTCTCTTTTATAGGACTTAAAAAAAAAATACAGAAATGGGTTGCTTATGGCCCTTCTCCTCTACGAGGTGAAAAATTAAACCACCTCCCGGGTCTTAACTTTACCAGGGTAAGTGTACCAGGTATTAAGTGCACGGCACGTAAGTGTTCAGTAAAAATTTTTAAAAGTTTTAAATTGATTTTAGAGAGAGAAAAACATTAATTTGTTGTTCTACTTATTTATGCATTTATTGGTTGCTTCTTGAATGTGCCCTGACAGAGAATCAAACCTGCAATGTTGGCATATCTCAACAATGCTCAAACCCAGTCAGTAAATATGTTTAAATGAGTATAACCCTAGCTTTGGTATGTTTTAGTCTGAGTGTAGTATAGTATGGAGCCAGCCATCAGAGGTAGAATAAGTGAAACTATTAAAGTAACTCCTGAATCAGCATGGTGCAACTTTTAAAAATGTATACATTTTATTGATTTCAGAGAGGAAGAGAGAGAGAGAAACAATGAGAGAGATTCACTGATCAGCTGACTCCTGCATGCCCCCTACTAGGGATCAAACCTGGGATCCTTCAGTTCACAGGCTGATGCTCTATCCACTGAGCCAAACTGGCTAGGGCAACAATGGTGTAACTTTTAATAGTACAGAAAGATGTGAGAAAGATACAAGTTTATTTGATAGTCCTCCAGAACATTCTGGGAGAACAAGAATGAGAACCCAGGCGCTAGCCGGGTGCTCAGTGGTTAGAATGTGGATCCACAGACTTAAGGTTCTTGGGTTCAATTCCGGCCAAGGCACCTACCTCCACTGCAGGCGTGATCCCCGTTTTCAGTTATTTGGGGTATATACCCTAGGAGTGGAATTGCTGAGTCATATGGTAAGTCTGTGTTTAACTCCTGGAGGAACTGCTTATACTTTGACAGCAGCTGAACTGTATTACATTCTCACCAGCAATGTATGAGTGTTCCAATTTCTCCATGTCTTGGCCAACACTTGATAATTTATTTCTTTTTTAACAAAATTATAGCCATCTTATGGTAACTCACTGTGGATTTGTTTTTCATTTCCCTAATGATGTTGAGCTTTTTAAGTTCTTGTTGGCCATTTGTCTTTTTTGGAGAAATGTCTGTTTAAGTCCTTTACCCATTTTTGGGGGGAGGGGGAGCTCTATTTTTATTGAAGTATCCGTGAGTTAATGTTAGGCGAACAGTAAAATCCAGGCCTATTGCATAGGGTTTTTTATATATATATATTTTATTATGGTAAAAAACACATATTTGCCTTTTTTTTGTTTTGGATATTTCTTCCATTGATTTTTAGTGTGGAAGGGAGGGCAAGAGACAGAGAGAGAGAAACATCAATATGAGAGAGACACATTAGTTGGCTGCCTCCCACATACACCCCAACTGGGCTGGGGGGTCAACCTGCAACCCAGTTATGTGTCCTTGTCCGGAATCAAACCCGAGACCCTTCAGTCTATGGGTTGATGGTCTAATCACCCATAGACAAATGGGCTAGGGAATATTTGCCATCTTAGCCATTTTAATATATATATATATATATATATTAAAATGGCTAAGATGGCAAATTATTTATTTATTTATTTATTTTTAATTGCCCTGGTTGGTTTGGCTCAGTGGATAGAGCGTTGGCCTGTGGACTGAGGAGTCCAGGGTTCGATTCCAGCCAAGGGCACATGCCTAGGTGGTGGGCTTGATCCCCAGTGGGGGGTGTGCAGGAGGTAGCTGATCAGTGGTTCTCTCTCATCATTGATGTTTCTATGTCTCTATCCCTCTCCCTTCCTCTCTAAAGTCAATAAAAATAATTTAGAAATACATATATTATCTTGACTGATTTCAGAGAGGAAGGGAGAGAGAGAAACATCAATGATGAGAGAGAATCATTGATTTGCTGCCTCCTGCATGTCCCCTAATGGGGGATCAAGTCCAGAACTTGGACATATGCCCTTGACCGAAATAAAACCTGGGACCCTTCAGTCCACAGGTTGATGCTCTGTCCACTGAGTCAAACCAGCTAGGGTACCATCTTAACCATTTTTAAGTATACAGTTCAGAAGTGCTAAGCATATTCACATTGTTGTGAAACAAATCTCTAGAACTTCTTTTTAACTCTTTTTTTTTAATATTTCTTTTAAAAAATATATATTTTATTGATTTTTTACAGAGATGAAGGGAGAGAGATGGAGAGCTAGAAATGTGGATGAGAGAAACATCGACCAGCTGCCTCCTGCACACCCCCTACCGGGGATGTGCCCGCAACCAACGTACATGCCCTTGACCAGAATCGAACCCGGGACTTTTCAGTCCACAGACCGACGTTCTACCACTGAGCCAAACCGGTTTTGGCAACTGTTTTTTGTTTTTTGTTTTTTTTTAACTCTTTATTGTTGGAGGTATTACGTATGTCTCCTTTTTCTCCTATTAACCTCTCCCAGCCCGCTCAGAACTTGTTTTTTATCTTGCAAAATTAGGTCTCTAGCCATTAAACAACTCCCAGTACCTGTTAACCGCCATTCTGCTTTCTCTTTCTTTGAATTTGACTTCTTTATAGATACTTCCTGCCCAGCCAGCTTAGCTCAGTGGTTGAGCATCAACCTATGAGACAGGAGATCACGGTTAAATTCCTGGTCAGGATGCAAGCCCGGGTTGTGAGCTCAATCCCCAGTGGGGGGCATGCAGGAAGCAGGCAATCAGTGATTCTCTCTCATTGATGTTTCCATCTCCTCCTCTCCCTCGCTGAAATAAATAAAAACATTTTAAAAAATGAAAAAGCTGTGGTACATTTACACTATGGAATACTATGCAACAGTAAAAAAGAAGGATCTCTTTGAGACAGCATGGAGAGACCTGGAGACTATTATGTTAAGTGAACCAAGCCAATCAGAAAGACAAGTATCCCATGGTCTCACTCATGTGGAATCTAATGAACAAAATAAGCTGATGGACAAAATAGACCCAGAGACATAGAAAGGTGGAGCAGACTGACCAATCTCAGAGAGAAGGTAGGGATGGGTGGGAAGAGATTAACCAAAGAACTTATCTGCATACTAGAGGCCGATGCACAACATTCATGCACTGGAGGGGAAGTCCCTCAGCCCAGCCCGTGCCCTCTCGCAGCCTGGGACCCCAGAGGGGTCCTTAGCGCTGCCGCCGCCACCAATGCGCTTGCCAGCCATGAGCCCAGCTTCTGGCTGAGCAGCACTCGCCCAGTGGGAGTGCACTGACCACTAGGGGGCAGCTCTTGCTTTGAGCATCTGCTCCCTGGTGGTCACTGCATCAGAGAGACCCGTTGTTTCACTGTTAGGTTGATTTGCATATTAACCTCTTATTATATGGGATTGTTATTAAGGGAATGCATAACCCATGGACACAGACAATAGTGTGGTGGACCTGGGGCAGGGTGTGGGTTAGAAAGGGTCAATGGGGGTTGGGAAAGACATTATAAAACTTTCAACAATAAAGATAAGTTTTTAAAAAAAAGAAAGCTTTTCACATCTCATCTAATTAATCCTGAAATATGTTAGGTAAGGATACAGCATATTTTGTTTAATTCTGGAACTATATAAAATAAACTAAGCATACATAACTTAAAGCTGGGGGAGGTTGGCTGCTCTAGTGGCCATATATGTGATAAGAAGATGAAACAGCCTTACTGCTGATAAGGAGATTTAATGGTCTGGATAGAGGATTAAACCAGCCACAACATTCCCTCAAACCACAGCCTAATGCAGAGCAAGGCAAAACTCTGCAATTCTCTGAAGCCTGAGAGGCAAGGAAGCTGCAGAAGAAAAGTCTGAAGCTCGCAGAGGTGGTTCATGAGGATGAAAGAAAGAGCCAGCTCTTCACATAAACGTGCAAGGTGAAACCGCAGGTGCTGATGTAGAAGCTGCAGCAAGCTTCCCAGAAGGTCTAGCTGAGACAGCTAATGCTCATGGCTACACTGAACAGCAGATTTTCAATGCAGACAAAACAGCCTTATTCTATATAATAGAAGGATAATATACAAATTGATCCTAATGGCAGAATGACTGACCAGGAACGACCCGTCTCTATGATGTGCACCGACCACCAGGGGGCAGATGCTCAATGCAGGAGCTCCCCCTCTACCACTCCCAGCCACCCCAGACAAGAA